CATGCATACAGTGTGCCATGCTTGCAAAACAAAAAATTGCATCAACAGAAGGCTCAAGCAGCTATTAGTTATTGGAGAAGCACGCAGGAGGTCCAGCTGATAAGCATTTTCTGCAGTAAATTCCAACGTAAATTGGGAAAAGAGCCAAACAAACCTGGTAATAATCATGCTAAACGGCCCGTGATCCTTTGCACAATAACAACAAACTCACAGTCAATATAGACTCATGTTGTCCAGCAGGGGTTTATATATCTAATATGTTAACAGCAATGTCACGTTGACTTTGTTATATAAGGAAAACGTTGGCTTCATACAGTTCACTTGTGTCCTGTTTGATGATGCAATGGACTGTTCAAAACACATATGAAAATGTATAAATCTGATCATCAAAACCATGTACTGTATACGTCACCTAATTGAATTACTACATTGACTCTCGGTGGTGGAAAGTGCATTTATTCAAGTACCATTTTCAGTTACTTGTATTTTACTTGACTATTTTCATTGTATGCTACTTTATATTCTTACATTACTTAATGTCAGTGGGAAATATTATACTTTTTACTCCAGTACATGTATCTGACAGCTCTATCTACCGGTTACTTTTCAGGTTACAATTTTATATAAAAAACATATGATAAGCTAAAAACAGGATTAAACCCAATGTCTCTCTCTTTTGACACCTCATTAAAAAGCAGTTCCACCAAATATGTCAAATTAGCCAATATTTCAGACAAAAGCAAAGATTATAGAAAAAAATCCCCCCCCAAAAAAAAAATACCAATTTGCGGAACACATTTTTGTCTTTTCTTCTTTCATCTCCCATCGATCATCACCAGACCCCTCGGATTTATAGTGCGACCTTTTGGAGGGGGCCAGACCCTTAAGTAGCACTGGATTTAAGGCTAAGCTCAATACTAAGTAGTTACAATTAGTTCAAAGCATTTGGATCCTATTTTCAGACAATTATTTTAATTGATCCATTGAGCGAGAACGCTGCACATGTAACAATAACAGGTAATTATGCACCTTCAATGTACTTGTGTTTGCCACTGACAGGCTCTGATTGTTATAATAAGTGTCTGTTATCATTATGAAAGGACCCTACTGAGACCCCAGCTTTCGCTTGATCCGGTCAGTTTGTTGTGGTGCATCTTGGTTGACTGGCGTCGCATTCCGATACAACAAACTGTGGCAACACCGACACTCCTCTCTCCAATTCTCACTCATGTTTTGTCAGACACATCAGTGTGGCCGGTCATCAAGTGTGAGTACAGAAAACGTAGTTTCGTATTATCTAAAATATTCTCATAGTCATGGCTGAATATGTATCTGATATCGTCAATGTAGATGCGATGCAAGATTTTAGAACGAGATTTGGTTCGACAAAATAACAAATAGTCACAGTGATGTAATACACATATCAGTGCCAGGGGCCATTATAGGCTACTGCAGAACAGGTGCTTTCACTTATGTTACTTTGAGCACATCTTAATACTGAAGTAGAATTTTGAATGCAAGTTTCAACAGAATACTTTTGCATTGTTGTGTTGTACTTCTACTGAACTGCAGGATCTAAATACTTCTTCCACCCCTGCTGAGCTCTTTCGGCAGCAACATTTAAAACAAACACTTCCCCCTGGAGCTCTATACTTCACTTTGTCAACTCTGTGCCTCCTTTTCAAGAAACAATTTACGAATGTGAAAACAGTGTTTTACATTAGAGCCGAATGAGTCCTCTTTGAGCCGGCGCTGCCTTCATCAGCAGCCCCACGGCATTCCTGGATCCCAATTAAAAGAACATTTTGCGCCGCTTTAAGTCCCATTAAAACGTCACATGGCAACATTATAGCGTGTGCATCTGATAGAATTGAGTTTAATCTCATAAAATTGTGTAATCCACGAGATGAAATCACTCGTCCCATTACGTGGCTTAACACAGAAGGTCATAAAGAGTTACGGCTGTGTACTTTTAACCATTTACCATATTCCTCAACCGCCAGTCTGAATAGTACAGAAACACTATTGTTTCATTCATTTAAATGAGATCCCACGACTGCTGTTGTCGGAGATGAATTATGTATGTGTTGATATGTGATCGACGTCGTCTCTCGGGGAATGCAGGACACATACTTATGCATAACAATAGTCTTTAGTTATATTCTCACCAACAAATTGTCCGTTTATCTCCTGTGTTCCTTTCTTCCTGAAAGAAAACTACATTCAGATTATCATCCGTTTATTTTATGCAACTGCTGTCGTGAAATCAGGTCCATCGCCAAATGGCGGTTACTGTATTCAAATATGCAGGATTGTTGCCCCAGTACTTTCACTAATTATTTTCTTCTTACAAAAACAAAGTCATATGCCTGTCAGTGACATTGCACAGCTGATAACAGCATAGTCTATTTAAATTAACTCTGGTAGGCTGCTTTAAATCATGAATTGTTCATCACAAATGTTTCTTGATGTTTCACGTCATGCCTTCCCTCTCTCCAGACATTAATTGGCAAGTTGATTTGTTCCCAATCGGCCCGTTATATTGGTCTGAGTCAAAAAAACAATCAGTCCAAATACCGACTACAAAAAGAGCTGCAACAACAGGCTGCGTGGTGTGTTTCTACGAAGATGATACAAAGCCATTCTGAAATATTTTCACATCTAAATCAGCCATCGCTAATGTGTATATTTAGGTGGATTCAGATGCAAAACAGGTGAAACCTTTTGGACATTTTATGATTCTACTCAGTTTTTTTATTTCACGAATATAAGTGATATAATAGTGAGTTAGGGTCTAAAAAAGATTGTAAGAAGATTTGGCAAAAAGAAAAATAGGCAGTATTGCTTTGCTAAAACTCATATTGGCTGCATTTGAAATGATATAGACCAAATCATGAAACTTTCCACATAATAATGATCATAGATCGTTGTTATTATAACCTTATTGCATATATAGCTACAGACTATCTTTGGCAATAGATATTGCCAAGTTTAGTCATTGAATATATCTTTATTCCTCCTTTACGAAGTAAATGTTTTGAAATCCAATTTGTTCTTTATTTAGAACTAGTGACAAAACGGTAGATTATGAAGCAAATTAGGAACATGTAGGAAGCAAAATACAATAAAAACTCATAAATAATAAATAACCTAATGTAAATAATTGAATAACTTAAAAGCTGCTAATATAGACTGAACCAAAAGGACCATAACCGTATGTATCTCTACACTGATATAGCAGTCAATGTATGTTATTTGGCTATGAATATGCTATTAAGGCCTTTGTATCGCAAAGAAACTCCAAGGCAATTTAATAATATATTTGAATATTTTACAATGGGAGATTAAAAAAAGGGTATAATGTAAAACACACCGTATGGCTATCTAGGCCTACAGCACTGCCTCTACTGGTTTTAGCCTCCCATAATAAAGTGTGTCTAGTGCGTATTATTTCAGATTCTCTATATTATAATCTCAATATTTATCTGATTGCGTTACGTTTCTGTCACCGTGAAACTGGAGTAAAGTGTTGCTGGTTTTGAGGCCCGTCGCCGCTCGAGACGCCCCTCCAGCGTTGGTCGGATCCTCTCCGCCGGCGGGGAAACCTGGAAATCTCCGGCCGTGGTGAAGTGGTGTCGCTGGGGTAAAGCCCTGCCTCGGGGGGCGACGGTCGACAAAATGTGCGGTCGCTTCAGCCAAGAAGAGGCTTCCGAGGCTCTCTTTTTTTTATTGTTTAACATCCTCAAATGCGATGAGAGGATTAATGAAGCGCGTCTGCCGGACCCATATGTCCCCTTCAGTGCCGCTTGTGCTTAATTAAAACCGAATGGATACTCGGGGGCCCCGGGTCCTCCTGCTGCAGGAAGACTGACTTACTGCTCTCTGCTGACATTTATTGAACCTGTTGAAGCTTTCAATGTGTATATATATATATGATGAAGAGCACTATCTTTATGGGCATGGATTTGACTCAATTATATAATTGTTTTCATATGAATTATGTTCTTCCTCACATTTGCAGCCGTTTTATTGTTTTTTATGTATTTATTTATTAGTTAATTAATCTTGTCTTTATTTAGGTCGCGATTATTTCATGATCTGAAGATTGTGTCCGCTCTAAATCCTTAATTAAAAACACATTATCAATAAATAAATTAGAAATGTCAGGTTACATTTACAGTGATATTTACCAGACTGTACGCTAACAGTCAGTTGTTTGTCGCTCTGTAATTGTGGGTGTAATTCGCTGCTAATTGGGGGTCAAATGGACAACAAAGGACGTCAACGGCAGAGTTATTAGAAGCCTCTCTGACATCTCCTGTCACATCCTAATTAGGCCGATAGCACGAGCCTTTCTTTCTTCTTCTTCTTCTTCTTCTTCTTCTTCTTCCTCCTTAAGCCATGCACGAGCCCCCGGACCTGCTCAGGCTCACATGCTCTCCCTAAAACCCCAAAGAGGCTTCCTGGCTTTATGTCCACACAAATCCGTAATGCAGGACTAATCACAATCCCTGCAACAGATGTCTGGATGCACATTGATTTTGATCGAGCTCAGGAGGAAGAGCAAAGGCTTCAACATTTGAGGCTGAATATGATTTTGATAATAGTCACGTATATATATGGCAATGATTTAGTGTTGTTTTTTATTTTCTGTAGGTTAATTCAGTTTTACCCACTTTTATATATGGATCATACATTGAGTTATTGTTTGAAGCATTAACGCCCACTTTGTATGCGGTTTTCTTTGCTGTGTAACTTTATATTCAAGTTTGTTCCTGGACTCTTCAGTTGCAGAGCTCATTTCACATTTCTCCGTGTGAACTGGCCAGCGGTTCGCCCTGAACCAAAGAGCAGCCGTCAATAAAAATGTTGGATTATCCTTCTTTCTGAGACGGGATTAACATAGCTCTCACATAATTCACATTCCTCCCTGCTTGGACAGAAATCAAGGACTCTAGTGATGTAGTAGAAATAAAAAAGAAGGGCATTAAAACGACATGTTGGTGATCATCACGAGGATTACATTTAATGACACTTTAATATATGTATGGCAAATCAAAAAGAGTAAAATATGATAAACATGTGCATAAATGAGGCTTTCTTCTTTTTTTCAGGCTTGTTTACATGTTGTGTTGTGGTGTGTGCAGAAGCAGGTGGTAAAAACATGAAGAAACAGGAGATTTAGATGGATTTACACAGTGTTGGGTCAGGTCAAGGGGTCTTTATTGTTATTTAGTGTGTTTGTGGCCTTTACAGCTCCAATGGACCTTGCTTGCTGCTGGCTTGATCCACTCTGCACTCCCTTATGTCATTCAACTAACATGTCCTCATAATAATTTATCATTTAAACACTCGAGACAGGAAAATAAATCTATCAAATTCACAGCTGGGTTTGTGGTGCGAAGAAGTAAAATTGCATACAGGTGGTACAAAGAATCACGTTATTTTTTTTTTTAAACAAATCTAACACATGGGGAAAATAATTCAAAAACACACACAAGGGACGTTTATGCGCACACACGCAAACAGACTGATTGTCTCTTATAACTAGTTTTAAACATTTCTCATAAATTAATAGTGCATCCAGGTTCATGTCAGAGCTGCTTTTTCTCACACACACACACACACACACGCACACATTCTCTCTAACACACACACACACACACTCATGCGCAACGCTTTGATCAAAGGGGCCCTTCAGCGTGCCAACAAAATAAAAAAAGACAAGAGAAGGGAGTCTTTAAGGAGCTTAGAAAAAAAACCTGACCCATTCCTCACACTCAACCAAGTTAGGCTCACTGGATCTTTCGCTCTTTTGATCCTTTTTTCCTTTTGGTCAACACATTTGTTCCGTGTCCTTGATCAAAGTTGGGGAGAAGTCAGTCTGAATGTTCAATAAGTTAACCCAACAAGTGAGACAACCGGCTGGCAGTCCTGCTCTGCTCTGCCCGAGGTAGAAGTTGGGGCCCGAAGTGGTGGGAAAAAAGAAGAAGAAAAAAACGCCGCACTTGCTGCTCCCAACCTTGGGTATTTAAATTGCCTGCAGCTTGGGGGCGGGTGGGGGGGGAGGAATTGTCCATTTTTTTAAATTTCTCTCCCCTCACAACACTTGGAATTTCCACGCTGCTTGGTCTTTGTAATCCAAACAGTCCGCGTTGAAATTGAGCTTCCACGAGGAGGCCGTTTGGTCCTTGTAGTCCAGGCAGTCTGCAGCGCTGCTGAAGCCCAGCCCCGCCGCCCCGTACGCGGACGAGGAGAGGGACGACGCGTTGCTCAGGTGGCCGGAGACCCCGTTGCTCCCCATGGGGCTCATGGCGGAGCCCGCGGCGGAGAGCTGGTGGTGCATAGGAGAAAGGTAGGAGCCGCAGTCCATCCCGGTGAAGTAGGACGAGGAGCCCGTGTAGCCCTGGTTGTAGCCCGACGCCTGGCTGTAGGTCATGGGATAAGAGCGCTGCATACAGGAGGAGGAGGTAGACAGCGGGTCGGAGAGCGGGGAGATGGAGGCCGGGCTCCAGATAGACACCGGTGCCGCGCTGCTGCTGCTGCTCACGGCCGGGAGCGAGGTGCTCGAGGGCGGCGTGAACTGCCCGCTGGCTCCGCTCTCTGAGCTGGCCTCTCTGACCGGAGAGCTTTTCTTCTTCACCGGCTTGCTGACCGCCTTGTTCTGCGCTCCACTTTGGGTTTGTTGGGCCTGTTGGCGATGTTTGGCTCGTCGGTTTTTGAACCACACCTGGAAAAAAAATGCGTTTAAATGAATTTAATTTAGATATGAAACAACCTCTGTCCCTTTTACTGTTTCCACTTTTAAAGATACTTTAAAAAAAGTTAGATTCATGTGATCACAAAGCCACATTGAAAATAACTATCCCAGAAAATCATGTCATTTTTCTAAACTATCCATTATATTTACACGTTTCTTATACGTGCATTTAAAATAGGGTTATTCATAAAGTAAATGTCTAACGTATCTAGTGTGATTCAAACGCAGGAAAGGACAAAGTATCGCCTCAAGAAATGACTGTTTCCAAGCACTTCTCCAACAATGACGGGGACACTTAGCCCTGAAGTGGAACCTCTCGTACAGATAAATAACCAATTATCGAGCTTCCATCAATAGACGGTTTGTGTTGGAGGCTCACCTGCACTCTGGATTCAGGCAGGTTGATCTTTAAGGCCATCTCCTCTCTCATGAAGATGTCCGGGTACCGGGTCTTGTTGAACAGATTCTCCAGCAGATCGAGCTGGGCCCGAGTGAAGGTCGTTCTCTCTCTCCTCTGTTTGCGAGGGGCTCCTGAAAAAAAACCACAATGAAAAATAAGACCCTAAATATCACAGTTTGACTTCAAAGGCAGCGTAATTTAAAAATGCTTCTGTAACTTGATTATTTGATTCATAAACGATACTTTGTAATGCAAACGGTCGTTCACCAGCCAGTTGTTAATGTAAATAATATATTCTATGTTGATCATTGCACTGCGAATCATGCAACGTGGATGGTATTTTTTTTATGTATTTCTAATAAATCTTGGTGTATATTACCGTGGTATCCCACTGAGGGATGCAGCAGGTCCACTCCTGAGGATAAGCTCAGTCCGTTCACCGTGTACGGGGGCTGCTTCAGATAGGACATCATGCTGGCGGCCGGATGAAGAAACGAGAAAAATAGGGCAGAAAAAAATGTGTGCGTTTGGTTTTTTTAATCCCCTCTCGTCTCCGTTTAGTGTTTCAGTTCGTCCGGATCAACCTGGAGCAGGACACAGAACAGGAAGTTGTTTTTAAGGTTGTTGATATTCGTCGAAAGTCCGCGGAGTTTTACGCGCAGCCCTTTACGCACCACGGTGGGTTTAAAGAAGTGGGCGTCCTCGAAATCGCAGGGCTCTTAAAGGCGAGTGGAGACCCCCAGCTGTCCCTGCTGGACTGAGGATGCTCTGTCTGGCTGACAGGCGTTTACGCCATCACCCCCCCACCACACACACACACACACACTAACTGCTACTATAACTCCGCCCCTTACCACCCCCACAAACACACTCCTCTCCTCCTCTCCTAGTACCACCAAAACAAAACATTGTCGTTAAAATGCGCACACTCTTTGGGCCCCAACCCGGCTCTCAATTAGCATATACCCACAGGTTAGGCGAAGCTAAATAGACAGCTGATTGGGGGGCCATTTGCAGAAACAAAGACCACTGTTGACCTAAAAGTAATGCTGATAACAAAAGACTTTAGGGAACAAACAAAGAAGCCAATACTGCAAACTGAGCCCGTATTCAAATACAACTGAGCATCTTCATTTCTATATATTGGGACCATTGTTTGTTTCCACTAAAACCCTTGTACATTCAAATATTACGAAATTAAAATACGAAGGACAACTTTAGCAAATAATTAGAAACATGGAGGCATTCCCCAAAGTGAATTCTGACAAAATATTGACACTCCTCGCGGCGATTCCCCTCCTTCCCTAATGAATTGCTCCCGGTAATTAGATTTGGAAGGTGAGACGATCTAAAAGTGTTGATTAGAGAGGAGCACTTAATCTTAATCTAAACAAACAAGGAGATGGCCCACTAAATGTGTCTCCGAGTATTGTGCATTAAAAACAGTCTTAAAACAGCCTCAAATTGTACTTAAAAAATAGTAATCTTTGAAAGGACCACAAACGAGGTCTAATAACATCATATTAAAGTAACAGAGAACAATTCTTTGAAATTATTAAATATTTTGCAATGACAAAATAAAGCGAAACAATGTAGCCCGAAATTATATTGACAAGGATACTTAGTAATGAATAAAATAAATAGTATAATAGGGTCACTACAGAATACATAGTTTGTGAGACACGTGTACCTTTTTATCTTAAAGAAACATCATAGGAGATTAAATATGTATATGGAACATTTTAATTAATCTAGAAAATAGACCTAATAGCTATGAATTATAAATATTTAATATATTAGGCTATTTTTTAAATAATTTGGCCTGGTAAGAGAAACAAATGTTTAATAAACTGTAATATTTTCTTTTTGTTGTAAAGCAGCTAATTAGTCTATTAGTGTATATTCCGCATGCCTCTCGTAACATTAACTCCTACCTAGAATAAAGTTCCCAGGACCACAGGGTGCCTCTCTCTCTTTTTATAGAGCCAATAACGGCCACTCCTATACTCAATCTGTCACTTGCTCCACACCCGTTCAATAATAAATACCCTGCCCAGTCATTAATTATTATTGGCTCCGAGAGAATTTTTTTTTTCTTCCTCTTCTTCTTTCTGTAAGAAATTAACGAGATAATCCGGACGGCACGCGCTGGCCTGATTACAGGACGCCAGCCACGACTCCGCATTCAGGCCTCCTTAATTTTCTGCGTCACGAAAATAAAACAAAGACTGGCATTGTATTTATCAGACCAGCTGACTGCCAGACAACCGACCCCCCAACCCCCCAACCCCAGCACAACTAACCCTACAACTCACTTTCCCAAACTGACACATGCACGTTCATATGGACCCCTTTAATTAATACCATTATTTTATTTTATTTTATTTTATTTTATTTTATTTTATTTTATTTTATTTTATTTTATTTTATTTTATTTTATTTTATTTTATTTTTCTTTACTTTACTTTATTTTTCAATTTTGAACTTTATTTTCTAAAATAGCATTTTTACATTAAAGGCTGTATTTCAATATAAATGTGGAACATTTATATTCATGTGTGATTTAAGATTTATTTTATTCTCTCAGCCTACAACTTGACTTTATGTGTCAGCCCTCCTACATGCCTGAATACATCCACAGTCTATAGTCAAACATCCAGCAGTTGGAGTGTATTATCCGGAGTCGTGGTCTGCTCCACCGGCCTGCTATTAATCGGTTGAATGCCTCTTTGCTCCGAGCATGCAGCCCACAGAGGCGACAGGAAGAAAAGTTTCTTTTAAAACACGCCTATCCAATTATCTCCCTGTAGGCTATCTGCATGTCCATCACACGCAGCTCCTGGTGACTTTCACCGTCGAATAACAACTTCTTACTTAGCTGAAATGCATTTAAACAAAGCACACCACCCTGCTTTAACAGCGAAAGGTAAATAAGTCACTTACTTCAGCTGCTGGTTTTTTCTTTTTAAAAACGCCTCTCTCGGCAGAGCAGAGTGCATATCAAGCGGCTCTGATTATTCCCTCCCGACTAAGCTTGTTGGATGCGGATAATACGAAGAGATTCTCAGTATTTATCGAGAGAGAGAGAGACTGCGAGGGATTTTTTATTTTTTTTGCAACCAATGAAAATGAGAGGAAATGGGCAGAGGTGTGAAAGGATGCAGCAGCTGGAGTAAAGTCGCCTGATGGTGACAACATCAGCTCCAAAAGCACCACTGATCGCCCTGCATGCCATTTCTTAATCATTTAAAAATATCACACACACTTCTCATTACATCTTTACGCTACATGTTTTATTTTCAACAGGGGACCCAAGTATTTACACGTGGCAGTTTAGGTGCGTTGATCAAGAGCAGCCAATCAGAGCCGAGCACCTGCATGGAGCTTAGTGACGATCAAATAGTGGCCTATATAACCAAACATAGAGCCCAGTTCATAGTGAGAATCAGAAGATTTGAGCCGCAGCTTGATTGTCAAAATAAGCTGAGCAAGCAAAACGGAAACACTGTTTTGTAGCGAGAGGTGAAAATAACTTCTCGGGGATCTGTCACGGTTTGATTCTGTGTAACCCTATAAAGGACATTTAAAGGGGGGAGAATGTACACCACCACTTCTAGTTCCTTTACGGAGTCACATAGAGCATAACATATATATATATCATCATGAAACTTACCCAGTTGATTATAGGACAATTTCTTTGTTATGTGTTAATTAGCATTTCCAGATTAGAAATCTGAACATTGGATAAAGCCAGGTTCAAAATCCTTGTTTTATTTTGTTGACATATTACAGTCAAACGTTTTTTGAGGGGATTTTGGATATCTCTTTGTATCACTCCTTTAATCAGAAAATAACAGCCATAAAAAACTATTTTTGCCATGTTTTTAGGATTAAAATGTTGAATAAATCACGCTGTGATATATGAACAAGCCCCTCTGTGAAAACCTTCAGAATATAGAAATGAAACTTGGTGTAAGTGCTACTGATTTATGGCTCAGAAATCAAATAAAAGGCACTTTAAAGATATGTAAAACTACAAACATTTAGAAGACACTAGGTGAATAGGGTAATAAATGTAACAAATAGATATGAAACTTCCCCATCTGATTAATAAGACAATGATATTTTTAAGTTTTCTGACGTGTGGTTTATATATGAATGCTAACTTGAGTAAGCTAAACATATCCCTAAATGTATTTTTGGGATGTTTTCTTACTAGTCTGAAACATGTTATGGATGCAAATTAGCCTAAAATCTCAAAATTGACCAGTGCATGAAAATCAATGTTTTTTGCCTGGGGCAGCAGCCTAAATTATAGGCTATGCGTTGCTTATTAAATTTGCTGGGTTACACCATGAACCACTAATTTCTCTGTCACCCCCACCCATTACATCCCTTACATTTGTGTCCAGAGGGACATGCTGCATTTTGCATTCAATTAATTTTTTTTTAAAATTGGTTTCCTCCTATTTTGACGAAACTTTGGCTTCTGCAGCCCGGACTGACGGTTTTGATTGACGCTCCCAAACAAGCAGCAGGTTAGAGAACTAATTAGGAGTCTACATGCCAGATGAACAGACTGTGAGGCTGCTGGCTTGTTAGACAAGACTGAAATCAATACGACCTTTTTAAGACAATATGGACTCTATTGTATAGAGACCCATTGACAGTAGCCTATTGTTAAATAATTTAGTGCAATTATATAAAGTCAGTGTTATCAGTACAGATTCAAATTGATATAAAGTATAAAAACGTTTTTTACTGTTGCATTTTTGTCATTAGTGGACTGAAATTGTTTCAGGCTTCTTTAAGTGGAGTTTCCCCCTCAGCGATAAAACAAACAGCCTATATCTGGTCCCCTTGTTGTCCCACAGCTATGTTCTTGGCTCACTCACGCAGAGCCCTTTCATCTTCAGCTCTGATATATAATTCATCGGAAAATATCTAATAGCCCTGGGGAGCGTTTCAGCTAAACGGGGCCGTGGTTGTAAAAAAGGTGAAGCCGCTTGTTAATGTCTGTGGCAATATGCCCTCCCCCTGTCTCCGGGCCAATTGACGAAGTCACGGTTTCTCCTGCTGTTAGGGAGACGAATTGAAGGCTAAGAATCGTGGGACTGAGATACCGCTCTCTCTCTCTCTCTCTCTCTCTCGGTGTGCTGGATAATACTGGCTGGCATGAGGAGAGTGCGATGTGCTGCCTCCTCTCTCCTCCAGCAGCTCTTTGTTTGCTTATAGGAGTGGTTAATATGGTTACAGACCATAAACGATGACACAAATCAGAAGAATCCTTTCTATGAGATTTTATCTCTTCATTCGTCTTCTAAATTTATATTTGGAACAAACCTAATCAACAGTATCTGGTTTCTTATTTTCAGTGTTTGCTGCTATAGCCTACATTTTATTTACTAGTCATTATTATAGGTCTTTGTTATTTCCATAATCTTCTTAATTAATTTCAAACATTTAAACAATTTAAGTTTGGGGTCTTGCGAGACACACACTTACCTCATGATATAAGTGCTATATAGTTTATTGTTGGATCCACGGTTTTCTTGCACCAACCATTTCAGTTCACTTTAGTTGTCCATCTCAAGATCAAATCAATGACATGGCTCGCTCAGCCAGCCCCATCTGTTACACACTGACACACACAAACACACACAGTAAACTGTACTGGACATCATGAATGCTTGCTTTTTTTGTTGTTGCCATCTGCACCGTAGAACTCACTGATGAACTCATTGATGGATTTATTGATAGACTCGGCGGCGGAAGCGATACATGTATTGATGATTCTACAACAAACCGAAATGAGCGTCCTTGGATATTGAACTTCTGTGGTATCAGAGGATATACATGAGCTTCAGACAGCAGGTGCTGTTGTTTTCTTGAGGAAAAAAACAGAAACATAGACGGCTGTCATTTTCTCAAAATGTCGTGTTAAAGGCCTGATATTATCAGAAAGTGGAACACAGTGAAATTCATCAGTGTGTCTTTGCAAAATAGACGGTGCTCGGGGCTTGTTGACATGAGGACTAGAACTATAGTTGCTGGTGAGCTAACTGACATGCTAGCACGCTGGGAACATGCTAGTGCTTATCATTCACAACAGCTCTTTACGGCCCTTATATTTTCCTTTTTTTCCCGAGCTCACGGTCTGTTAGCTAGCTTGTTAGCTCACTGCTAACAAGACGAGATGATAATGTGTATATTTAAGGGACATATGACATATTTCTAGCACTGTAGCTGGCAATGTAACAGCAAAGATACTAGCTAGTCTGTCACAAAAGCTCTTCAGACTACTATCTATTTTCTCTGTACGCCTTTTACTCTCTCCTGACATTTTCTTTTCAGAATTACACATCATTTCCTTCAATAGTGAGGCCTAACTTTTGTTCCTGAACTGTATAAAACCCATACCTTTTTCTTTCTGGCTCTCCTTTCTAGCTCAGCACTGTCAAGACGCACAAATTCAAGCATATTTGTGGGTCAAATTTCACCAAAGTTGCACTTGACGGTTTAGTATTTGCATTGACTTACTTCACCCCCTCAAGCGAAGCCAGTGATTGCAACAATTCCATCCAAATTAATTTGAAAATTTGGCCCTGCAAAATTTCCAAAAGACTTGGTGGAGAATTTGTCTCTGATAGCTGAGTGTTAATGTAATGTTTTTTACAACCTGCAATATTATCACCATTTAACCCCGTCTTCACCCACTGCTACATGGCCTACACATCATATCATATTCATGCCCTTCATTGAGATACATCCACCACTTGTGGTTTGCCCAGGGGAGGGTTGAATGTCTTGTCCCTGCTGGTACCTCGTTAACCTCCCATGGCCTGTGGCAAGTGTTAGCCAAACTGAGAGGCTTCATACCTGGGTATTGGTCAGCAGGGACCAGCCCCAGGAGCCCTGGACCCCCAACCGGGCAAGGGGAGGGAGGCAGGCGGGACAGAGGAGGGCCAAACAAAAACACAACCTGGCACCCCCATGGCAAACAGCCCACCTACTGTCAGCCAGCATCTGGGGCACAGCACACAGCCTCTATTCACATTCTGATGCCGACAAATACTGAGGAGCACACACGCACACACACACACACACACACACACACACACACACTGGTGTAAGTGGCCTGGTTCATACAGCAAAATGTCACCTTATACAAATTCACTCATTGCAAACCTGCAACCGAATGAAAAATGGTCTGGTTTAGTAGTTAGTTTGCAGAAAATAGCAGAAACGTATTTTTGAAACAACCTACTCTGACATAGTCTGTAACTGCAGCTAATCTTTTGTGAAGAGATTACGAGAGACAACATACATACATGTAGCTTTTTGGAGGCCCATGTGAATGCTTTGAATGCATTGTTTAACTGTACTTTCAAGTTAATAAAGGGCATGTGGAGAACAAAGTTTGGAAATTGCACAAAAGAAAGAATGAAGGATGGAGATTGGGGGAGAGAGTGACAGAGAGAAAGAGGGAGGAGGAGTGTAAAGTTAATCCAGTCTGAATCGATGGGCCCGGCTGCAGGAGTGACACTGAAAACAGTTTTTCTTTTCTTTCTTTTCTCTGCAAATTTGCTCTCCCCTCTCCCTCTCTCTTTGCTTCCTCCCGTGCCTCTCGCTATTTTTCTGCCTTCTTATCCTTTTTAATTAGAGGGGCTATTCTGCTGCACAGAGGACCTTAATCCCCAACTGACCAACAATGCAAAAAGCCAGCCTTTGAACAGCCGACCTGCACCCTTCCTGGCCCCCCAAAACTCCCCACCACCAATCGCTGCACTGCCCAAACACTCCACTGCTCCCATCGGCTCTTTCCCTTCTCCGTCTCTTCCAACATCTCGGACAAAGCGCTTGGGGGAACCACTGCAAAGAGAAAGTGTTTGAAAGAGCATTTTAATATCCGCCATGGTTCTCAAAAAGCTTTGGTTTGGTACCGGGACAAGGCCGAGGTCAAATGGCAGGTGACTCTGAAAGAAGAAAAGTTACTAGAATAACCTGCTAACATCTGAAGTG